GGGGAATGGAGAATGGGGAACGGGGAATGGGGAGTGGGAATGGGGAACGGGGAGTGGGAGTGGGGAACGGGGAACGGGGAATGGGAAAAGGGGATTAGGGAAAGGGGAATGGGGAATGGGGAAAGGGTAATGATCCTCATGGAGAGGGGCTTTGGCCGCCAGGGGGCAGCACCGCCCCGAGGGAACCTCTGCACAGGAACATCAGTGACCTGTGTGGTGACAGGGACATCAATCGTGATAGGGACATCAGTGATCTGTGTCGTGACAGGGACATCAACCGTGATAGGGACATCAATCGTGATAGGGACATCAGTGATCTGTGTCGTGACAGGGACATCAACCGTGATAGGGACATCAATCGTGATAGGGACATCAGTGATCTGTGTCGTGACAGGATCGTCACTCACCTGAGTAGTGACAGGGACATAAGTCACCTCTATCCTGACAGGGACATCAGTTGTGACAGGGACATAAGTGACCTGTATCCCGACAGGGACGTCACTCAGGGACATCACCCCGGGCCATGGGATAACATCAGCGCACAGTCAGGGATGGTTTGGGCTGGAAGGGACCCTAAAGCCCATCCCATCCCACCCCCTGTCATGGCCAGGGACACCTCCCACTATCCCAGGGTACTCCAAGTCCAGTCCAACCTGGTCTTGGACACTTCCAGAGATGGGCCAGGGATGCTTCCCTGGGCAGCTTGTGCCTCCTCACCATCAAAGGGGAAAACTTTTATATAACATCTCATATAAATCTCTCCTCTTTTCATTTAAAACTATTCCCCTTTGTCTTGTCAATACCTGCCTGTGTAAAAAGTTGCTCCTCCTCTTTTTTATATGTCCCCTTCAAGTGCTGTCACTGAATGCTTACCCTGTGTATAGTGATTTAGCCCCAAAATGGGGCTCTGGGTTGGTCAGCCAGTGTGCAGGTGTTTGCTTGGCTCCCTCTTTTTTCTCTAGTTCCCCTCAAACAGCAGCAGTTTCCAAATACACACAGCGACCTGACCAGATCTTTTCCCCCCTCTGATAAGAAATGTCAGATATTTTCCCTTTGTCCTTTATTCAGTATAAGAAAAGAGTTTGTCCAGGCTGACAGTGGGGTTAAAGTCAGGCTGGTAAATCCCCTGAACAGTACATGGCCCCCAAATCTCTTTCCTCCTCACCCCTTGCTTTACAGAAGAGGAGTCTTTAAGAGATGCACAGTTGTATTTTAAGTGAGGAATTATTTAGAATGGAGAATTAAGGCCTTTTAAATATTTAATGAAAGGAGGTTTTCTAAATTATTTAATAGCTTATTATAAAAGATGGCACAAAATGGTTTGGTAATTTATACTTTGCAGAAAGTATCTGTAAAAAGCATTTTACAACATGTAAATATTGGTAGGAAATGCACCTAATTTAAAATGTTATCTTGTTCCATCTGTCAAAAGGAATTATACAGTGCCTATACAGTTTTCAAATAACTTTGGACCTTTATTGCTTCTGTAGAAAAACTTCCCTGACACAAGGAAATGCTGTTTATACCCATTTTACCTGAGTGCAGAGGCATAGACTGTGCTGGGACCGAGGTGCAGCAAAGCTGCCCATTGCAATTCCCTCCAGATCCCAGAACCCACAATCTCCATTTGCCCTAAATACTGACCCAGGGGAGTGGTGTAGCCTCTGGGGATCTCCTGTGCAAAGCAGGAGTTGCTCATGGCCAGTCCATGCATAAATACTGAAAATGGAACCCTTCCCCTCTCCCATTCCCTCTTCCTTCTTTTCTATATCTCTGCTGGAGGTGGAGTTCAGCTGCTCACTGGCCAGAGCTCATTGGATAAAAATAAACAAGCAGCTCTGTTTCCCAAAGTAATGTGCCACCCTGGGACAAGACAGGAGCCACCAGTTAAACCCACTGTTCACAAAACACACACAAAGCACACTTTTGCCATGAAAAGCCTGGAATTCCTTTTACAGTTATTAACTAGGTGAGCCTCTTGTTTCTGTTCTGATCCGTCTCCTTTATTGACATAAACCAGCCAAAGCTGGTTTCAGGAGTTTGCCTTAATCTCCCCTAATACAAGTCTATTTTTTAAAGAAATATCACTGCCTGGAAGGCATCAGAAAACCTGGAGATATGCAGGTGGATGTATCATCTGTCGCTTTCTCTGCATCCACTTAATTAGAATGAGTTGGACTAATCAATACTCCCTTGCCTTTTACCAGTGTTTAACATGTGTTTACAGAGCAGGTTACACTGACGTTTGGATTCACCTGTAGATGCATCTGCACGGGACTTTATTCTCCTCTCTAATAAAAATTATGGAACAGATAAGCACTAAAACCCAAGTTAGTGTATTGCAGTATTGATTTCTACAAGAGCACTGTAAGAATATATTTATCTACCTGTCCTATTATGAAATGGGTAAAAATGTACCACATAACTATTTCAGTCAGTCAATGCTATATTGAAAATCCTGTTTGTTTGCTTCTTCTTAATAGGTCTTTTGAGGCACACTCTTTTATTTTTATTTTTTATTTCATGTGTATTTGTGGAAGAAAGGATTAATACAGGATGGTTGTACTTTTTCTGAAGACAGCTCTTTGCCTATGTTTTGTTTTGATTTCCACTGCTGATTTGATAGAACTGCTGATTTTGGCTCACCCTGGAACTCCGCCTTGGAAAGCAAAGAGAGTAAAATGTGATTAATTATAGATTGCTGGCCTGGCACCTCTTTAATTCCAGCAATTACTTTATTTTCTCGTGGCATTCTGAATTAAAAGGAGCCGTTAAGGCCAGGTTGGATGGGGCTTTGAGCAACCTGGTGCAGTGGAAGGTGTCCTTGCCCATGGTTTGGACCAAGATGAGCTTTAAGGTCCCTTCCAACCTGTGACTGGAAGGTTCTGTGAGCCTGTGAGCCTGTTGAGCCAGGGGTTTGCCTGTTCTGAGCTGCTGAAAAGTGTCTTTCTATGCGGTTTTGTGACCCCAGACGTGCTCTGCCCTCCAATGTGGTGCTGTAATTCTGTGTTTCTCAAAAGCAAATTTCTAATTGATCAAAGGAGGAGTGAAATGAAAAGAATGGTGGATGAGAAAAGGTTATTGTGATCGCTGTGTAGGTGAAGACCACATTATTATTACTCTCACAAATTGCTCTGTGTCATGTTTTCAACAGCAGAAGGTCAAGTTGTGCCCAGGGATGGAAGTGAGAGAACAAATACAAACAACAAAAGCAAAGAGGTCTGAATGTCTATAAAATGGTGTGTTTGAGCTCCTTGTTCTGCAGCAGGTGTGCCAGTGCTGCTGTGAAAGTGTTTCTATGTGGAGATTCCAAGGTGTAGCTCCTGGGTGTGGGTGTGCTGGGCGTGAGAGGCGATGCTGGAAGCGAGGAGAGGCAGCAGGGTCAGGGGGTGCAGAGATGCATGATCCCAGACACACTCCTGTGGATGTGACCCTCTGCTGCTCAGGCAGGCTCCAGGGCCAAATCTTTATAAAGACAATGACAGATTTCCCCCGTTATCTTTAATAATGTCTGCTTCAAACTGTTGGAGGCTTCTTGGAGCCATGTGGAAATGTGTTTGCACTATTGTGCAGTCTTGCACCTTACAGCTTTCCCAGCAGCTGGGTGGTGAGAGGGCATGAGGTGATGATGCCCCAGTGAGCTGCACACACTCTGTTTGCAGCTCCTGCTACAGCAAACTCTGCCTTTGGTTAATGTAGTGATACTTCAGAGCTGCCCCACCACAGCTTCTCTGTGTTCTCAAAAGAAAAGAACAGTACAACTGCTGCCTTCTGCCCCGGATTGCACTGTAGATGGCACTGTGAAACTAAGATTTGGGTAACAAAGATGTATTTTACAGCACCTTTCCAGACGTTAATTGCAGTGTAATGTGGCTTTCTTTCTAGGTCCCCGAAGTGAAGGAAGAAATTCTGAGATGCAGAAAGGCTTATTTGTTGCCGCAAATGGGAATCTGGAATAACTATGAAAAACACACTGAAATAATTGTGTTTGACTGGAACAAAATTCTTGCAAAGTCCCCAAGGTAAGAGCACTTTTTATCTTTCAAATAACACTGAAGATTCACTGTTCTGGTTAGCAACAATATCCACTTGAATCCAATAGAGAATGAAGGCTTGACATTTCTGAAAGCGGCAGCCCACTGACGCTGAAGGGCTCAGCACCCCTTGCTGCATCTGTCTGCCAAATATCATTTTTTCTCTGCCTTTTCATAGATCCTCTTGTATTTCTTTACATTAGCAGGCTGAAACTTGTGTCCTGTCTACCTGCAAGGCAGACTAAAGTCTGCAGCTGTGTCATTTGGATGGTACTGGATGCTTTTAGCAGCCTTTCAGTTTGGGTATGACCAAGTGGATGCTTCGTAGTGATACACTCGTTCCTGGACTCAAACATTCTTACACTGGGGCAAGGTTACCCTGTTAACCTGATGAGCCCTGCTTTCACATTCCTTGTTTAATGTCTCAAAAGAGTCAAACTCAAGTGGGGAAAACTTTTGAGAATAGGTCAGTAGCTGGCTATTTCCACTGGGACCAGTTTTGCTGCTGCACTGGGAATGTTGGGAACACCTGGGTCCATTTAAGTGCTGGAACAGCAGCTGTTGAACATATGGTGCATGATTTGGGACCTGTCCATCATCACACCTGTCCCTTCCAACCAGAAATGGCACCTTCAGAATGCCTGAGCTGTGGCATTGAATTCCACAGGCTAAATCCAGGAAACCTGGAGGAAGGTTTCTGTCTACATGGTGACGTGTCAGAGTAACCCCAGAGCTGGGTATCCACCCATACTTGGATCAGATCTGGGTGTTTGCATTTAGAGCAACAGGAGGATGGGACTGGAAGCTGAGCAGATGATGACACCAGTGATAACTGGTGCCTGAGCTGTAATCTGTGTGTTTCTCACAGAGAGAGCAAGGAAATGAAGGTTAAATTCAGCTCTCTCCTGGAAAAAAAAAAAAAAAAAGAGTTTCAGTCACCTGGGAAAGATTTGTAGGACCAAAACATGAAATGGTACACTGATTTCAGAACTTACCAGGCTAATACTGGATCAACAGCAACAGTGACATTTATGCTGGTTTCACAGTCTCAATCCCATTAGCTGCAGTGGCATTATGTGGTTCAGCTGCTTGCAGGAGGTGAATTAGGTTCAGCTGCTCTAAATTAGTCTGGGAGTGCTCCAGAAGAGGGTACTCATAGGGTAGGTAGGGAGCAGTGATGTCTTTATCTTCTGGGCTTGATTCATGCTCACAGAAGTCTCCTACATACAGTTGTAAAAGGCCATCAGGGTGTTTGTTCCTGTGTTTGGAGTGGCAACATATTTGGCTCAAAACAGAGCATCTTCTTAAAGCCAGAAAAGGTACCATTTTGCCAAATCAGTGCTTAAAATGTGGCTTCTTTACATGTAATTTTAATTCCCTGAAATCTGTAGGCATGGTGAGCTGTTTTTTTTTTTTTTTTACAATATTAATGTAATTAAAAAAAGCCAAAACTTGTAGGCTGAAGGTGCTGGGGTTTGCACTGATGGATTTCTTTCTGAAGTGTAAACTTGTATTTATTGCTAAAATATATTTATATGCAGCAAGCCTCTGGTTTCTTAACTTTTCATATTAATAAGTAAATTTTTTATTTGTTTGGGCATTATCAACATTTACAATTAGAGAAAAAAATATGGTTTTGCAAAGTGTGAGAACAGAAATTGTGCAAGCAATTTTAAATGAGGAAGCATGGCCCCTGTTTTGGTTTCATTGGTAATGTTTATCAAATTTAAACATCCAAGTGTGTCACCTGGTTATGACAGTAGAGTTGTTGCTTGGGATTTCTTTTTATAAACTTGTCTCTTCATTACTAAAACATTGGATTAGCTGAATAATCTTAGGTATTTTCAAGATCCACAGATAATTTTGTTTAGAAAATACTTGGACGACTCAGAACTGGAACCTGCAGAGGGAAAATAATTCCCAAAGGACCTTTTGGTGCAAATAAATTTGTGATAGGCTTGCCCAAATCCCAGCATGCTGATTAACTGCAGACTAACGTCACTGCCATGAAAACAGTATTTGGTTCTATTTATGCGAATCTATAAATTGCCTTTAATTAATTTGATGTATTCCTGCTTGCAGAATTTGCTGAAAGTGTGGAACATGGTATCTAAGGGTTCAACTACATAACGCCCATTTATGTACCATGCAAGCAATAAATCATCATAACTGAGTTTAAAAAGATGATTAGATTCCCTTTCTATGTGATGAATGGCATAACATAAGCTATTGAGGGATTTAATTGTAGATATTTGCAGAAAAATTACGGAGTATTTGGGATTTTAGCTCTGAGAATAACATGAATAAGATTAACAACACCTTCTTCAGAGCAAATGTTTTCTGAAATGCAGTTTCCAGCACCCTGGCAGAGAAGTGAGTCCTTGCATGTTTGACTGAGGTGCTGCTTCGTGAGTGTTTTCCCCTCAGCAAAGAGGCTGATCTCCAGGAAATCTCCCAAATATTGTGTGTTTGGCAGACCCAGCTAAGTCCTGTGTATGGCAACAGGGGAGATGGTAGCTTTAGTAATATGTCCTGAGAAGTGTTAAGTAAAAATTAATTTTTTTTTTTTTCTGTCATTGGGGGAGCTTAAAAATAGCAGCGCAACTCATAAATATGTATGTTTAAATTTGAGTGTGGCAGGATTTTAATAAAAGACAAAAGAACACATCCCTATGAATCTCAGATTTATAGAACTGTATTGCACTCATAATGTGTTATTATAAACATGTGTTTGTGGGTAATGTGATGTGTGCTAGACATTGCTTCTAATTATAAAATGTCCTTAACAAAGAATTGATCCCAACCAAATAATGAGTATGATTTTGTGAGTGTTGCCTTGTAATAAGCCACATTAGTTATTCTTCAGCGTCCTTTCAGCTGTTCCTTCCCCGCATCATTTTTATGTTATTCCCTACTCGCATTGTTCTTTCACTCAACTGCTTCCTTTTCTGCCTCCAGGATGAGATTCTGTGCCAAATCAATGCTTCTGTCTGACTGGCTCTTTCTGGTCTATGTGTTAATGGTCTGCTGTAAATTGTTGTCCGCCTCTAGTCACCATCCCCGGGGGCACACAGGTAGGAGCTTTTAAACTCATTATGTGCTACTGAGACCAATTAATACCACTTGCAGCATGTTAGAGCCCACTTTCTAGCAATGGATAATTGATGAGGCTGTTGACAGCATGTTGTAATCAGTGAAATAGGTTAAAAATACACCACCACCGAGGAAAAAAAAGAGTTATTGTAAATTTACATGGCTTTTCTCTAGTTATTTATGTACTGAAGCTTGCCAGGAGCTTTTTGGAGTGACTTCACGACTGCTTGGACTTTGGGATTTGTTTGTGTCATTTTGCTTTATCCTTATCCAAAGACCTTCTGAGATGTACTTTTACCTTCACCCTCTTAATCCTGTTATCAACTGACTTTTCAGTGGTATCACTTGCTCTGGTGGGCAATAAATCGAAGCCCTCAGACTCATGTTAGCCAGCTCTTTCACTGACACAAATTCTGACCTGTGCTGAGATCAGCCTGCGACACTCTGCTTTTCCTAACTGGTGTAGTGAGGAAAACAAAGATCTTGCATTTAAGGGGATGCACTATTTTAGTAGGGAAATACCAACCAGGCACGATGTGTTACCATATTATAAACGTCAGAAAAAGCTTAGAACAAGCTGGATTGACTTCCAGACTGGATTTTTGTAGCAACATCTCTGGTAGGATCATGCAGCCATCAGCTTGAAAGCAGAAAGAGATGAAGATGTACCAGTGCTAATGCAAAGGTGTTTGTCCTAAATAAAATGGGATAGCTGTGCTAAGACTGTGCCACCTTCAATCCCACTAGGGAGAAAGGTGAGGTAACAAAATATCCTGTCAGTGCTGCTTTTCAGGAGAGGTCAAGACTCTGGCTGCAAACTACACTCTGGGTCTGTGTCCTCAGCACCATGGTCAGCGTGGCCCTGTTCTTAAATTAGGTGTAAATCCTCAAATCCGCCTGCAATGTTCTTAGCTCTGAGCCAGACTCTTGTGGGTCCAGGTCTAATGTTAGCATCCACTCCCCTCAGGGCTGGGAAGCGAGGATGCATCTGGTAGAGGCTCCATCCTCCAGAAGAGACAAACTATTGATCTCTTTCCTGGCTGCTTCCAGTGGTTGTCTAGGTAGGAGCTGGAGACTCCTCCTGTGCTCACCAAAATATCTTCAGAGCTGGCAAGCAGGACTGACTGACCTGCACGTAGCTGCTGTGTCTCTGAGAGCTGCAAAACCTCCTCCTTGCCTTCCCCCATCACCAGTTCTGCTTTCCCTGGCTGTGCAACGCTCATGTTTGCTATAAAATACAGCCACAGTTGATGGAGAGTAACTGCACTGTGAGGCAAATCCAAAGGAGTGGTTCCAGTGCATGCAGTGGTGGGGGATGACCCATATTTGCTCTGGGAATTAGTTGTATCCCTTTCATGAAGAAGTGGGGTCTGTGCACAATCACAGATTAATTTCAGAGCATCTCAGAGCTGACTCTGCAGAAAAACCTGGAGAAGAACCTTCTGCAGCTTTTGTCATTTGGGGAGCAGCCTTGTCAGAAGAAATGTTATTTTTGTCCTTTCAAGATGAGCTTTGCCTGTGCACCTTAGGGAGATACCTGCAATAAGGCAGCAGTGATCTTGTGTTGTGGCCTTGTATGATGAGCGCAGTGCATTATGTAAACCAAGACAAAATTTTTTACATAAAATTTCAGAATGCTGGAGATCATACCTTAAATTGACACCAGGAGCTCTTTCCACCCTATCAAAGAGGTACCACAAACACAGTCAAGTTGCTTGACTTCTAAGCATATTTGTGTGCTGTGATTTCTCTGGTGAGCTAAGAGAAGGTTCAGCTCCTCATCAATCCTCAGCTTGGCCCAACTCTGAAGCTGTTTTTCAAATGGACAATGCCCTTGGGTTTCAATGCCCTTGAAGCTGGAGCCTACATGCAGCTTTTTAGACTGTGGTGTCCTGTTCTTCCCCAAATGTGAGTTTCCCTCCTTTGTACACTGAAGTGTCCCCCATCCCACTTTGGTTCCATGTGGTAGATGAAGCAGTGATGTTGTTTTTGATTCTCCAGCTCCCTACATCTGACTCTTGGCACCGTAGAGGATATAGAAGGTTTAGAGGCCTGTCCTCAAGGGACCTGTGTTTCCCAGCCTCATCTTATCCTTGCTGCTTGACACAACACATAGATTGACCTTCTAATGGATAATCAAATCTCTGATGGAATCTATTATGTGAGCAAGGTGCTGCCTTGTTCATCAGGAAAGCAAATAATTCAGAGCTTTTAGCAGAGCCAGTTTTGTGGAAAGCAAATAATTAGCCTCATTTATTTCATACAAATTAGCATGTTCTTGGATAGCAATTGAGATAAAATTTTTGCAGTCAATAGGCAGCATTCACATTTTGCAAAGTAAAATGTCCTGAAGCACGTTAGAGGAATGACTCCAAGCTTTGGGTTCAGCAAAGGCTTTGTCCTTTAGGTCCAGCAGCTGTCACCTGACAGGTACCTGCTGAGCTGGGAGGCATGAGGTGCCCAGCCTGGGATGCTTTGAGAGGAGCTGCTTTTTCAGAACAGGTTGTGTCTGCTCCTGACAATCAGTGTGTTTCCAGTGATTTACTTGACATCATCAGCATCTTTAAATAAATGTGTACTTGCTACAGCTAAGCAACCTTGGTAACTAAGAGCAGACAAGAGAATTTAAGATGAAAAGTGGGAATTAACTTTTTCTTTTCAAAATACTGCCATTTTTAAGGAGCCCAATCTGGGAAAAGACAATTATTGACCTAGGTCATGCTAGATGGTGCCTGAAAAAATGACATTTGACAGCTGTCTGCCCTATTCAGGCAGGGAGAGAGACTGGATCTTATGGACCCAATAGCCACCCTGAATAGCTCCTGAAAAGTGGGAGAGAATGGCATTGAGCAATCTCTCTACAATGGAGGCCTCTTCACTGTAATGAAGTGTAAGACAGACCTGGTCCTTTCTTTTGCTCTCTGAAATATTCACCACCATCAAATACCTGTCAGGGGAGAGCTGTTCAATCCTGCAAGCCAATCCTGCCCTCGACTTGGAGCACTTTGGATCTTGAATCCAGCTTGGAGGCCACAGCCTGTTTTTCATTGGAACACTGCAATTGTCCTGAATGACAGAGTCAAAAGGTAGAGGAGAAATTTCCCTTCTCGTCACCATTAGAGCATTGAAGATGCTGCTTGTGCAGATTATTTTAGCAGCCTTCTTGTATATCTGTGTGGAGAAGAAACATGAGAATGTTCATCTGACTTTGTTGCTGTGAATTCCCTTCTGGACAGTTTTCCTTTTGCCCTGACAATAACTAAGGGAACCATAAGCACCAATTTTACTTCAATTTTACTTTTTCTTTTTTTAAAACCAGGTAGTATTTCAGGCTCTTGAGTACCTAATACCATGATCAATTCCATGCTCTGTTGGATGAAGCAACATACATTCGGTAGCAGAAAAGATTTGTTTCCACCTCGCTGCTCCAAGTCACAAATGAAGAATTGAAAAGACATTTTGTCAGGTCAGCTGGTGTGAGGGCTGGCCCTGCAGACCCTGAGCTGGCACAGCCAGCTGAGCAGTTTCTGCCATGAATTACTGGTGCATCTTGGCTTTTTTGGAGACTCTTTTATGTGATCATGCTCACCTGAAATGTTTCCAGCTCTGCTGGAGGGCCTAAATTTTCAGGCAGAATGTTCCACATCAACTGCAGTTTTCCACAACTTTCAGAACTTCCTTTCTCTACTTTCAAGGCTTTTGGACAGACTCTGTCCCCACTGGAGTCAGAGGAAAAATTCTGAGAGAGCTGAAAAACGCAGCCTTGTATGAGAAATATTGCTGTTTTCAAGAAAACAGGGAAAACCCATGCTGCTTGTTCTTCTCTTATTTTGGGGTTGGAGCATTCTTTTTCCTGGCAGTGCTTTTGGGCAGCTGTGAGATGGATTCCCGTTTCCACCAGAGGGCCCTGCAAGGCTGTGGAAGGGGATCTGGCACTCAGCCACCGCCGGCTTCCTCCTGATTTAAATCCCAACTCCACATTTTGCTAACTTGAATTATGAGCGCTTTGTATTTCCATGGGTCAGACATGGTTACTGCACAATAAGCTTTAGCCCTTCTATTTAACTCCTTTTATGTCTTAATGTTTTATTCAGTGTGCTATTTATGTGGTTTATTGCCCAGCTTCTAAATATAGGGTGGCTACAATATACAACCCTGACTGTAATCTCTTCAAGAAATAAGGTAGGGAAGGCAATTCACTTGAGAAATAGGTTCCCTTTAAGACAAAAAGGAGCAGAATTCTCTGTGTGAAGTTTGCTGGTATACTTATTTTTGAGGAGGAAAAAAAAAAGCATAAGAAATATTTTCCTTTTTTAATTTTTTCCTTAAATAAAAATGAGACCTTTTAATATGTGTGACAGACTTTGACAATGACTTCAAATTAGATGCATAGCTATGGTACCAGCAAGTAACAATTCAGTGTTGATTTATTCTTTTTTAGGGTAAAATGTAGCTTCTGGTGTCATTTTCCAAGAATGTACACTTTAACTGCACGGAATGTGATTGCATGTGAAAAGATTGGTGTATTCCTGGGAGCTGAGGGGTGGGAGGGGGAGAATTACAGACAAACTGGTAAACGTGCAGGTTTAGGTATCAAATATCGTTGTATCAAAAGTGGGAGGGTGGAATTCTGTAATAAAAAGAAGACAGAGTCTTATTTAATACAAATGGCCAAGCCAAGTGTGTCAAACTGTGGAGCAGGAGGCTGATACCAAGCTCTTTCCTGCAGCACCAAAGTGACCTTATTTTAAAGCCATTGGGGAAAGCTTGTGAAAATATTGTCTTTATTTTATTCATTTTACATTGACAGCATCATTTGTTTTTACATGGCTGCCGCCTGCCGTAAAGATAATCTTTATATTCCATTGACCAAAGCTCTAAGCAGGAAAGCTTTCTTTACTCTGTGTCTTTTCTTTTACATCTACTTCTCCCAAACTTAGATCTGATAACAGAAAAAAAGTATTACATTGCAAATGGATAG